GATTCAATGCATAGGATATTTTAGTTTTGTCTTGCTAGCCTTTTCCCCTGATGAGAAGAGCAATTGGGATTGAGACAGATAAGCCTGAATGTCATAGCACTTGGCCACAGCCTTACAGCAGTTTCCAAGAAGGGAAGAGAGAATCAGGACAGAAGTTTACTCAAGAAATTGGTGTGTGATGTTGCTGGTTGGGAGAGCAGCAAATGGAGGGAGTCAACAGTGGTTATCACTGTTCATGCACATGCAAGTGTCCATGCGTGGCGGTGGCTAACTATTTATTGGGGACTCTGTGGATGTAGAAGATGTCTGGGGTATTGTGGGTTAAGTGCCCCTAATAAAGAGTGGAAAAGCTTAAGGAAATGTGTATGTTTTTGAGGGGTGTAACATTCAAAACAGTAATACAAAAGTTACAGTAAGAAAGGGGAAAAGTAGCACTTGATCAATACAATTGTAAAGAGTTTGTAAAGATAAAATGAAAACATTATTGTGTGAATTTGGGAAGAGGTGGAGGAGAGAAATAACTGCTCTTTCTAACAGATTAACAAAAAAGCTCGGACTATGTTTTCATATGTTCTGTAAAGTGACATTCTCAGGAAGAGAACTGGGAGAAATACAACAAAATAAATAAGAATGGAAATTTAATAATGCATGATAACTACATAATGGGGAAGGGCAGTTGACCCAAAGAAAGGCAAGCTGAACATACATTGTTTCTATGTTCCTCCCAGTCACTGCAGAATATTCTAAGTATTGACAAAGATTAAATGTTTTAAACTTTTCTTACAGAGTTCTTACAGAACTGAACAGGAAGAGGGCTACAAGCATTAACTCCTGTGGCTTCCCAAGGCTAATAAATAGAACTTTAGAAAGTGTTGATGGAAGCTCTGACTTTTAATGCACTTTTAGTTTTTTTTAAAGGGCTATGAGTTCAACAACTGTTGTTGAGTGTTTGCACATGTATGCTTAACATGCTAGGACTGACTGCACTTACAGTGAAGAGCAGTTGAGTAATTGAAGCAGGCTGTAAGAGGTCAATGTTGCACTTTGTCCATTGTGTACTTCAGCCTTGGTTTGATCCAAACCACTCTGGAGTCCAGGGAAGTGCAGAAGGATGACCCTGGGGGAAATTGCCTGTTCAGAACAATGTTTACTTCACTTTGACACCTTCATTCCTGAACTCTGTGCATCAACATGTTCTTGTCTGTAAGAAAAGTCAATCAGAAAGCCTGCTTTCCTATTTTTTCTCAATACCATACCATCCCCAACCCTGTATGCAAAATTAGTGTATGAACGAGGGTGTACTAAAATATCTTTTTGCTGTGGTAGAGGCTGTAGATTGGAGTCGTGTGCTATGCATTTTGCTTTCCTTCAGAAGGAAAGCAGAGTCATAGGCTCTGGTAAAGGATGAAAATACATTCCTTGGTGGAAAGAAGCTTGGGTCTTTTACTGTTGTTTGAATGACTTTGATGAACTTAGTGTTTAGGCAGAACACTGTGTATATTTTTTTTAGTCTTCTGATACGCAAAACACTCTGAAGGTCTCCTGGTTTTGTTTAACTGGGCTTTTGTGTACTTTCCCCACTTTCACATTCACAAAGAAATGTGTAAATGGTGATGCATGTAATACTATCTGAAACGGAGGCACAGCGGATAAGTATTATACCTCCTGTGGTATCAAGGTGCATTATAGCAGTGAGCAATAAGGGGTGGGTGTAGTTCAGTACTGTTTAAAGGCATAAATTTTTGTCCTTACCTGAGTAATACTGTTTTAAAGGTTATATTTGAATTGGCTTCTAGAATTTGTTTCAGATTGTATCATTTGTTATTTGAGGATGGGGCAGGAGGGAAACTATTTTATTTCATTACACATAGGACAGATGTTTGCTCTGTACTGATTAAGATTAATTTTCAGTAAGGTATGACAATGGTAGCAGCACATAGTCTAGCTGAATAGGCAGCTAAGAGGAAAATAATGAAGATCTAGGTTTATATGTTTCTGAGGTTGTTACTTTAGACAGTAACTGTCTCATGAGGTGGTAGAAGCAAATTATTTTCTGAAGCTTCACTGATCGGAGCTTTTTTATGTATTTGATAATTTTAATGGTGAAGACACGTCCTTAAGTTGTTTGAATGTTGAATATTCAAATGTGATTATTTGCAGTTTTATCTTTTAGCACCGCAGTGCATCATGTAAAATTTCCGTTAAATATTTATTGGGAATGTAAGCAGGTTTGTATTTGAAGTTTACTCATTTCAAAAGTAAACCTCAGGACAGTACTTGGGGAACCAGGCTGCACAACTGCTGTTAACACTCCTGAGAATTTGTGGTTTATTTCTTAAAGTTCAAGTTAACAATTTTACTTCTGAGAAATGAGATTTCCTTGAGATGTGCTGTATAACATAGCTAATAACAGAATGTGAAAAATAATTTAGTCCAGTTTGAGAAAACATTTGAATCCATATTAGTTTACGGGAAGCTTGTTAAAATAAGAAGGTGATACTCCTGTTTTGTTTATGTTGACACCTGAAAGGAGTGAATCCTTTAAACAGGTCTATAGTAAGTAATTATATATAATGTCATAGCTGCCTAAGGTGATTCTGGCCTTTTCTTAAAAACAAAGTACAACACAGATCTATCTTTGTAGTACCATTCTTGCTTTGACTTGTGAATTGTATCAACTCCAAGTTATTTTGGGCACTAAATTTCACTGGGTTTGCTGGACCATAGCAAATCATTCAATTTATAAGAGAAGAACACAAGATAAGTAAGTTGATTCTTATCTTGATATAAGTGGATTTGGCCTTTGTTCTGTGGAAATTATAGCTCTGGATCAGTACCCAGTAATACAGAGTTGTGACTTCATCCCCTTGCTCATGCAAACAACTGTTTGTCCACAACAGTCATTTTAGTGTATTTGTCTGATGAATAGAAAGAAAAGAGAATTTACCTAAAAATTGCACAGAACCACTGAGAATGCCCAGAATGTTTTCTTTCTTGTCAGCTGTTTGACAGCTGGGAGTATATTTGTATAATTATGTCAGCATTTAGTCTGTTTTTAAGCTCTTCGATGATTTTACCATTCCTTCATGCTGTTCCTAACCAGATCTCTCAAACAGTGCTGAAAGAAGCTTGTTTATTAATATTGGTGGATTATTTTTCTTGGGAAGTCATTATTGTAGTTCTGATTTTGCTACTTGTATGATATGCTGGGCAACCATTTTTAAGACATCCAACATGGGAGAATCTAAACTCTCACAGTCATGTTTGAAGATGCTTTGCCTTTCAGTGGACATTTATGTAGAAGCCATGAAATAGGCTTCACTGCTACTTTTGGTAATTTTTAACATATTTTCAGAACTAAGGATGCTCCATGGTCCGCAAACTGCTACTTCCTACTTTTTTGTCTCTGTCAGCCTGCTTTTTATGATGATGTACTTGCATATAAATATAGTATTTGGTGTGCAACAAGGATTTATCTGGCGTCGATAGAGGTTTTTCTGTTACGTAATTGGACACTAAAGAAACATGAAAATCTCAAACAGTTTGTCCTTGTCTAGCTGAGCCAAAAATGTAACTACAAAATTTTCTATGGAGTAGTTAAGCCTTCTTCATAATGGATTTCTAAAATCAATCTAAAACATGTGTTGCATTGCTCTATGTCCTTTCTTGAGCTGTGAAAGTAACTTATCAATTATAAAACAAGTTAATGAAGTGATGGTGGTTTGTTCTTGATAGTGGCTTTGTGCAGTTGTTTTTACCAGGCTGTCCAATGTTGTAGCAGTATGTAAGCCCACAGGATGTGCTTAAAAAAACTCTAATGTAGTACAAGAGATTTTCGAGATCTTTCTAGGCAAGATGTTGCAGCTCTTCACTTACAAGGGCTTTTTTTAAAAGATAAATAATTGCTCTTCACATTTATTTCAGTATTGTGTTTGACTTAAACTGTCAAAGCCACGGCCCGCCTTAAAGCCAGTGTCTGACAGTGAGCTGTAAGGGTGTTTTGACTTATGGATATATAATGACTTACTGAAAGGTAGCTTGCTTTTTAAATTGTTTTATGCTGAATGGAGATGGCTTTAAACTTTACAGCAGTGTAGATAAACTTGAATTTCACTGCCCTGGTCATGAAGAATATACTTTCTGTTGGGACAGTGAACTTTAATCTTATGGCAGCAGCACACTCTGGTTTGTGAAAGGAGAGAGGGAGTAAAGGAGAGACGAGAGAGTGGAGCTGTCAGCA